TTCCAGAAGTGTTTCCCCAGAACACCAGAAGCCTCCTGCTCTTCTGGCAAACATGCAGTGTTGCTTATTCTAAGCTTCAGATTACCATAAGTTCAGAACACACCCAAAAAAAAACTTCTGGCGTTCTGGGGAAACACTTCTGGAAATTTCCAGAACCATATTTGAATACCCTAAATGAAAAATAATTAAAACTTTTGAAAGGGTTGAGATACAATTAGCCCATGTTGACTAGACACAACAAGGCAACAAGAATGGACAAGTGCTAAACTTGACAAACCTGAGGAAGACAAGGTAGATTATAGATGAACTACTTGGAGAGAAATCAGATAAGAAGAAAAGGTAAGGGGTAATGAGGAAAAGTAACATGTAACAAGTCTAATTTAGTAGAGCTCTCAGTAAAGATTTTACGAAAGGCAGTAGCAAAATGGTAATAACTCATGTTGAGAATCTTTTTCCTCAATGGGGAAAAAGATTACAAATGTGAGGAGATACAGGATTATAAAAGAAATTTGTGCCACAGGACTTTATCATACACAAAACAGAAACCCATACCCCAGTTCACTTAACTCATTATGAATCCCAATCTGGTAGCTCCTTCTAACACTTCCACAACTTGATCATGGATCTCAATGATTCAATTTTGTCCCAATTGGTTCATCATATGACATATATATCCCAATTCATCCAATCACTAAAACACTTGCTGATCTGTTCTCAAATATTTCTTTTTGAGTCTTATTGGTTTTGAAAGAAACATAACTGCAATTTGTTGCAACAGTACACCACATGGTAAGTGTGATGTGGCACAAACTGGAAGCAAGTTGGTATAGAAATGTCTTGTTTTCAATTCAGTTTTGAGAAGTTCTTGAAACCAAGTAGAGCTCGCAGAAAAACAGGAGCTGTGCCAGAGACCAGAGATAGAAAGGAAACACCTGGGGTAACAGGTGAGACGTGAGTACCGTGGCACAAGCCTCTCAAAGCTTCAGCGAGCTAAATAAAACACACCTGGGGTAACAGGTGAGACGTGAGTACAGCGGCACAAGGCTCTCAAAGCTTCAGCAAGCTAAATAAAACACACCTGTGCGTGTAGCAACGGGTACGTGATCAAAACAATGTCAAACGGAAGGTAAGTAAAAAGTAAATGTAACTTATAATGAAGATAAGATGAATAGTTAGAAAAATGTATATAATCACAAACTTTGTAGTAAAGCACTTACAATTTCTTTCCGATGAGGAAAGAAACTGAAGATTCTCAGGTGAGTATATAGAAAAGTAGAACATAGGTGAAAACATTTGAAAACAATTGATGGTCATGATATCTCAGGTCACATGCGACCTATTCCCAATTTAACACTAAAAGAAACAAAACTGCACAAGCATTGACCAGACTCATCTTCATAACACCTTCTTTCTTAACATACTGACCACGCATTGACTTGTACATAATTTCACAACACTACCAGAAGTCCTTGACCATAACGTACGATTTGATACCTTCAGGACTTCCTTACATACACACATCCTCATGTGGTACTGAATACCACAACAAGTTTAAACATGTCTGAGACATTCCCACATAGTTCCAGGCAAAACTTGCTCCCTGAATGTGACAGTCACAGGAAATCAGACTGTGTCAGACTGTATCTGCCCTTCAATCAACAGCTCAGCCAGGCAAAGACTGAGGAGGATGAATTGATTGCATTCCAATAGGATGCTTGCACTTGGCTTAACATATGATATCACCCAGGTCTTCCTCACCCTTCATACCCTCTTTGACCATGTTTTCAATTTTTTTTCAACCTGGTAAAAGTGATGAAACAGACTAGTTGTCTCACAGTTAACATACATTCTGTGACTGAGCACTGCAAACATCAAACAATTTCCCTTCAGTTTGGCATGAGAAAATCATTAGAAGTCAAATTGATGATAAAGCATTGATCATTGGACACCTGAGCCATGGCACCCACACTATATACATGCAGTAGCATGGGTAAATTGGAATCTATCATGTATATACAGAGATGCTCAGATATTGGCTCATCTGGATGAGTAAACCTTATGTATTACCTTCTATAATTTTTTTCAGTTTAACAAAAGCTTTTCAAAAATTGATTACATACACTGACTCATAGCTTTGGTGTGATTACATGAACTAAACTTCATGTAACACCCTTTCTGTTACTATCACTGTGAACATCATTCAACTTCCCCAAGTTGGAAGAGGAAAATGATCAATAGTACAGTTTGTCATAACAGGATCCAATACAGCACACCTGAGGCTGAGCCATGACACCCACCCTACAAATGTGCGGCAAGCTAGGTAAATAGTTGTCTATCATGTACATACAGGTCTGCTCAGTTTTCTGCCCACCAGAATAAATAAATCACATGTTACACCACATGTAGCTTTTTTGACTTTGAAAAAATTGTCCCAAAAATTCACTGCATATCTTTCTGGAGCTGCTCGGGCAATATTGTTGAAGCTATTTCTTAGTAACAGCAAGGGTGTTACATGCAGCTGAGTTGATGAGATTACACCAAAACGTCAAGCCAGTGTATGTAGTCAATCTTTTGAATGCATTTGTCAATCTGAAAAAGTTACAGCATGTATTACATATGAATACTGTATCCTGATGAGCAGATAGCCAAGCAAAACTGTATGTACATGACAACCACCTATTCACTGAGCCTGCTACACATATGTAGTGCGGGTGTTATGGCTCAGGTGTGAAGTGACAGATCATTTTATGACAAATCATACTCCAAATTATTTTTTCCTGCCCACTTGGGGAAGATGAATGATGTTTGCAGTGTATCAAATGGCTTCCAGAGAATTGCCTCAGTGGCTATGGAGGTATACAGTCTGACTTGCGCAAATGCATACCCGCGCACCTGCATAACCCGTGATAATGCATAGAAAAAATCCTAAATTTTGATACTTTTTACTGCCAAATTTGACAATGGAATTGCATAACCCGTCAAAATGCATAGCAAAAGCCTTCCACCCAAGTTATGCATTTGCGCGGGTTAGACTGTATGTAGTCAATTTTTGGAATGCTTTTGTCAAACCAAAAAAGATTACAGAAGGTATTACATATGGTTCACTCATCCAGATGAGACTATATCTGAGCATCACTGTATGTACCCAATGGCTCCCAATTTAACCATCCTGCTGCACATATGTAGTGTGGGTGCTATGGCTCAAGTGTGTAGTGATCAATGCTTTATGACCAATTATACTTCCAGTCATTTTCCCATGCTCAATTGAAGGGAAGTTGTTTGATATTTGAAGTGGAGACTGTCTTGTCTGTGTTCTCCACTCTCATGTGGGAATGTCTCCAGCACCATCTAAGGCCAAGGAAGTTGATCTCCTGGTGCAAGTCCCTCACTGGAGCCTTCAATTGCAAGCAACAAAATGGGACTTTGTTGAGTTTAGCCAAAATCATAGTTTTTCTGAGGAGGTCCTCATTCAAAACCCACAGTAGCATCAAAGAGAGGGTTCAACCCAATTTTGGACATGAAGGTAACCACACAATCTGGATGTGACACATTCTTATAAACAGTGTC